TTCATTTTTATGCAGTGTTCTCACTACCTAGAATGGATATGAAATATATTCGTTCAGTTGAAGGCAATAGCATACTTTTTCGTCTTATAATGCGCAGATAAGCTAATATCCATGTGGGTGTAGAATAGTATATTGTTTCACGAGTGACGAAAATAACATTTTTTGAAGCGAGAGAACAATTTACCAACCGAGGCGAAGCCGAGGTTGGTAATGTTCGCGAGCTTCAAAAAATTATTTTCGACGAGTAAAACACTATACTTTTTCTACGAACTCTATTATGTCATGTAGGTACCTACTAAAATGAAAAAAAAAAAAAAACAAACGTTAGCAAATGCTTTATTTTGTGTTAGGAATAACAAAAAATTAACCAACAATTAAATATTTCAGAAATATTATTTATTATTTAAATATTGATTTATTGTTATATTTGAACAATTGTTCAAAATTATGGGGGTATCACACTCAAGCTTTTTATTAATTGAGGTAGATGCCGACATATTTGTTCTACTGTTAAATGTCATTTCAGATGATGATGCGCCATAATCGGATGAACTAGTAGTTTCCTTATTTTGTACAGATTGTAAAATTTTGGTTTGTATTTGGTTTTTACTGTTCGTGGATTCATCAACATATCCTTCCGCAACACTACTAGATTTCCAACCACCGTGCTTTTTTAACAGAAGCAAGTCACCTCCTGCATCCACTAATAGCGTTGCGGATGTTCTGCGGAAACAGTGCCCAGTGTAATCTTGAGGATTCGGAAGCGTTAAAAACTGAGCAATTTCGTTAGGAAATTTACTGATTTTATTAATTCCAACAACCTGTCTGCTACACTTTCCATTCTGATAGTTAATAAAGAATCTTGAATTAATTTGATCCATGTTTGCGGGACGTAGGCTCATATATTTTTTAGAAATATCATAAAAGGGTCCAGAAATATGAAAAGAACGCGGAACTTTTGTTTTTGTATTACGGATTTTAACTAACAGAATACTTCCAGTATCCTTTACATCGCTTATTGTTAAATCTTTTAGTTCGTGGCAACGACAAGCGCCAGATAATCCAAAAACTAATGCTACCTACAAATATTAGTAGTTATGTATTAAGTATTTGTTAAAATAAAAATAATAATTCCGTTACCTTTGTTATTAAATATTTATAGTCAGGTGCATTCTTTAGGAAAGTCTTTATGTCTTCAGGCGAAAAAATTTTGGATTTTTGGCTTCTAAAACCATCAGATTTTCTTTTCAAAAGCGAACGTAACTTTGGATATTTACTAATATCGACATCATTTTTAACAGAGAGTGTAGTTCTTAGCATCGAATAAATGGACCATAACGTCGACGGTTTAAAATTTGAACATATTTCTCCAAAGTATGCTAGTAGTACAGTTTCCGAAAATGATTTCACTTTATTTTTTTCTCTCCAGTCCAAAAATTTGATATAAATTTCTTCATATCTCTTTTTTGATTTGGCTGGTAATAAATCTGAAGAGGTTTCTTCAGCTTTAAAAATAATTTCTGGGGGATTACAATCGCTTTCTGACTCAGACATCATGAAAATGTGTTAAATTTAGGACGAACTGAAACTGACAGTTCTCAAAAGTGATAACACTTCAAATAAACAAATGAAAACCAGGAAACTAGATGTAGATTGGTTTAATTTGCACTATTTTTATACATTTTTATTTTATCTTTAATTCATTAAAGTTTAGGTAAAAACGCATATAGAATTTAATGAGCATCTTTTTATTTCATTATTAATAATTATAAGCTGCCAAAATATTATACGAGGCGACTGATATATGAAAATATGTAACAACTTACTTTCGTCACTAGAGACGAAAGTAAACGTTATGGGATTTTTTCTCACTAGTGACGGAAATCAAGTTTTCGCTGAAAGTATCCTGTGGCGAAAGATGTCTTTTTGTAAGAGTAGAAAAAAATATTTATTTTATTACACTTCATATTGCACAGTACCCTTTTTATTTTATTCTTTCTTTTTAGAAGTCCGCCTTCAAGTTAATTAAACTTTGCTTTTACTTTTGTTGGATTTATGTGTAGATAACAGATTGATATTGCTGTAGAAGATGTCCCGTGGCACTAAAGTTTCTATTAGGCCCTTCTTAGGTTGTTTTTTCAGTTCAGGTAAGGTAACACAATTTATTTTTATTAATTAATTTTTTTTTTCTTTTCATAATTAATCACTTATACGTTACAAGATTATTTAAAATGTTAATATGTTAAAATTTATGATATTTTCTAATATATTTTACCCTTTTTTATGAGAATACAAGCAAATTAACGATTGTTTGGAGTTAATTCTGTTCCTATCTTTTGTTTAATCAATACCTGGATATCAAGATTTATTGTTAAGGACACTAAGTATTATTTCATAAATTATAATTCAATTTATAATTTACTATTTGTCATAATTAAATTCGTGTTTTTAAATAATGTATATATGTTTATACTATATACCCATTTTATGATAGTAGTAAATTTTTGGTTGTCATAGTTTTCGAACCTTTTAAATATACAGGATGTGAAAAATTGCACAAATATTTAACCCGAAAGTTTAGTGGATCATCGAATAATATATTTTTTGTTAATGTCTTAACATTTTGACTTTATAATCAATACATTGTCTAACAATAAATATTATATTCTGTAGGATCTTGAGTAAACAGTTCTCTTTTATCTTTTTAATGATGTTCCTTTTGCTTATTATTAAAAAAAATAATTTTCCCATCGGTTTCTTATGTATCTGAGAAATTGCTACACTGTCCTCGTATCTCTCGCCTTTTAATCTTCGTATCTCTCGCCTTTTAATCTTCGTCGAGTGACTCGAATCGCAGCCTTGCTGTGGTCAGAGATTGAATCGGGGTGGAAAAAGAGGCGATGAAAAGACATTTGGGATATATTTCAATCCTTATTAGGTGTCACTGACGGATTAAATTTTTGTTGACAAAAATCTAACGAATTTTGTTTTTTACATTGAGTCAAATTTATGCTTTAATAAAATACTATTTTTTCCAGTAAGATGAACAAACATTTAATTGTTTGTTTCCGGGTTGTCATGCCGTGGTCTTTCTTGGTTATTACTGCCAAACGTTTCAGTTGCAACTGCGCAGCCATCTTCAGTAGCGTGGACGAAGTACTCTTCTCGATGTATCAACTGAAACTGAATCCTCCTTTGTTTTTTATTAACTATGATAAAAAGTGGGATTTTATATCTGACAAATTGCAACTAAATATATCAATCTTTGCTAATAGAATTTGTCTCTGTACACATGGTATGGAGCGGATATTTTTCAGAATATTTGTACGAGATGTAATTATATAAAAAGTATTCGGGTGTCTGAAAAAAATTCTAGGAATGCAAATATTAAACTTTTCTAATAAGGTTGGGCAGTCAATTATACTTTTAATAATTTTATAAGTTACTACTATACTATAATAATCACGCCTTCTTTCGAGCTTAAAACAATTACGCTTTTATAGTAATTCTATCCGGAAATAATTCTAAATTGTTAATGGATGAGTCAAGCCAGGTTTCGGTTAACGCAAAAACACGATAGTTGCTCTGAATTACAGAATATAGAATCTGGCTAGTTTTTGTCTTTAAACCTCACGTATTTTGGTAAAAAATTGATAAGGTGTTCGTAGCTTTGAATCTACCAGGGGAATATGACAATTTCTCTTCAATTGCTATTCAGAAATTAAGTTACTATTTTTAATTTTTTTTAAGGTTTCTGCATAGGAGACACATTTATCTTTTTCCCAGACAGCGTAATTAATATCTACATATTTGCCAGCTAGTTTTCTGCAATTAGAGCATTTTTTAATGAACGATTTACACTGATTTGGTTGGTTAAAGTCGTTACACTTATAACAGCGGAATACATCAATGCTATCATTAACATCATAACTGTCATAATCGACAAACAAATTTCCCGATTTGAAAGCCCGCTCATAAACTAGTTTATTTACAACCATATATGTAATGTTGTCATTACTAACGTTATTAAAGGTTGGGAAGTGTCACATTACACACCTCTACTTCCCGCCCTCATTTTATCTATTCTAGATGAATATTTTTTATATTTAAAAAAACACATTTTTTTGACAAATTTTATAATACCTATTTAATGGCAAACAATAAAAAACAACAATGAACTAAATTATAACAAATTACTTATTGATATTTATTATTCGCGAATTTAATATCCGGCTTTATCTGACATTTATTTATATTGGTGACAGTTGTTTACCCTGTAGTCACAGTAACAATATATTTACCTACTTGATTATTCTGAGAAAACCGCGCGCTTGGTAATTTGTCGTTAAATGTAATATTTTAGATATGTTCAGAACAAAACAGAGATTTATTAACTTTGATCGAAATATGATGGTTGTAAATAAAATAGTATACAAACCTCGGTAGGAAGTTTCATTCCTGTCTCGAGATCATAGCTAACCTCGACGCTTCGCGTCTCGGTGATCTAATTAATCTCACAACAGGAATGAAACTCTTCCCACCTCGGTGTGTAATATACTGTATCTGTAACATGTGGAGGGTGGGTTACCCCCACGGCACTTAGGCCTCATTAGGCCCATTGTGCATCCTCCTAAGATGATGTGTAATATACTATTATTAACCTGAATATTTGACTCCTAGATATTAGGATTCTTTTTCGTAGGAAATATGTTTAATATTTTACATTCTAATTCACCTGAAAACAGTGGCGGCTCGTGGGGGTGTTCACAGTGACAGAATATAGGTATCAGTACAGATGTATGAAAAAACTTTCCGTGTTTTAGAAAGTTTATAATATACCTTTCTAAAACACTGACAGTTTTTCACCTATATCTGTACCGGAATCTATATTCTGCTACTGTGAACCCCCAAAATTTTGGTTACGAGCCGCCCCTGCCTGAAAATATTTAGGAGTTACCATTTAAAGGATGTTTTCTAAGCTCATGTTCTGAATAATTTTCCGCCATACCTACCACTTGCAGTCGAGGATGTACGCCAGCAATTTCTTTAACATCATAGGAGTCAGCCATTTTTTCTTGAACTAGTTTTTTAAATTTTTTCAGTATCAGAGTGATTACAGCAACCAATAGAATTCCTCCATCTTCGACAGTCTTAACCTTTGCCAATTGAACGTTCATAGACGTAACATGATTGTTTATTATAGAAACAGCAGTATCTAGTTTAGTTTCGATAACTTTATGCAAATGATCTTCATTTATTACAATGCGCATTTCCAGGACACCCCCGGTACATTCTGCAAAATTTCTATTAAGTTGTTGATTTTTGTAATGCAGATAACATGAAACAAGTTTTTGCAGACTTCACAAGAAATGCTGGGTTTTGTTCCTTTGATCGCAATTAACCATAATGAAAAAATCATATTAGAGAACCATTCAATCTTCATCGACGGTTTTTTGCTTTGACATAGATGATACACAAACTAAGCACTTCACAAATTTTTACAATATTTTTCCAAAGAAAAAAAAACAATTTATGTCAGATCGCTATGTGACGGTAAACCAACACCAACTATCTAATTGTTACAGTTGGTGTAGAACTCTGACCAATATCGGTCTTTCGTCTTTTTGAAGTATCGAATAACTTTCTTAATCTTCTTTTAGGTCTGAGACTCCTTCCTAAGTATATTTCCCGTTTCAAATAATCTGACCTTGTATATTTCGCTAGAAGTACTTAATGGATAAGTATAGTTAATCAACAAAATATTCGGTGGTGATTGGTTTAAATGATTATAAAATAATCCTGAAAATCAGTCTAGGTAATTGAATTTCGACGTCGCCCGTGATTATATATGCAATGACAAGTTCTGAAAATGCGAAACGTGAAAAGACATACGTCTGTTTAATTAAATTTCACCCGAATGTGTCACGATATATTATTTACCTACTCCGCTCTTTTGAATCTACTCGTTTAGTGGGATTGTCTACTAAACCGAAATGAGATTTCCATCATTTCTATACGTAGTGCAGAAGTTTCAGATAACTACTCTGATGTTTGCAACATGGAAGTTAATCAGATTATTTTACACTGAATTTCCCATACAAATTCTGATTTATTTCAATTTTGTTTGTAGATATTTAGCATTCACATTAAATCCTTTGATTTGTAGTGAACTGTATAATTATTGGTGGTTCATAGAAAATTCCTTGGACGTATTCTTCACAGTGTAGAATTAAATAAATATTGAATGTGTAATATTTAACACGAAAAACAAGATACATTATTAAACTAAAAGAATAATTTTACAATATTTACAATTATGATGATGAGTTTACGATTTTTTTAATGTAAAAACATTATGTTAAGAAAATTAAATTCAATGTAATTTTTTCTGTCTAACTTGTTCTAGAATCAAAGGTGTTCTATTTTAAAAATGACCCCCTTGCATTTACGTAGTCAATCCAAAAACAGGCCAGAATGAGCATACAGACTGGACATTGTAATATATTAGGTTGGTAACACTGTAAATCATGATTTGGTAGCAGTGACTGACTGACAGATTGTAAAGTTGTCAAGGCGATGAAATAAAGTATTCTGAATAGAGACACGAAAGTGAATACACATGTAGTTTCATTAACATCCATCATCACATAGTACCGAAACCAGAATCAAGAACAGAAACACAAAAATACGAACGTATTTAACTCATATACAGTGCGAAACATAAATTAGGCAAAAAAAAGGGAAACTTAAACAGGGGCTGACAAAAATAAAATCAAATTAAAAAAATCATAACCTCAAAATGGATTTCAAAACGGCAATTTCTCCCATTCAAACAACTAAAAACCTATTTGAAAACTGTAAGTTCCTTAACATTTAAGAACTATCTGCAAACGACAGAATTAACTAAAAACCAGAAGCCATCCAGTGTGCCCATCTTCTTCAACTGATAAGAGATGGAGTATTTAGAATTTTCAACACTTTCAAATTCACGGTTACAGAAGAGAACAAATTACAACCTTTAATATCAAAATTTGAGACCCATTTCAAACCTAAAACCAATCTATCGAATGCAAGATACACACAAGAATACATGGAGAAGGCGAGACCGTTGACAAATTTATTACGGACATAATAAACATCATGTGGTGTAAAAAATTGGATCACCTCAGGAAGATGGCTAGGAAATCTTTTAATAATACGAGAACAACAAAACTTATGGGATACTTACAAATCTCAGCTTAGAAAATACAAAGACAGAGATGCATGAAGATCCTACTGCAAAGAAATGGAATATTTCCCGCAAGCACCAAGGCTTCAAAAAACTCTCTCAAGAGATCCACCGCAATATTGATGCTACGGAGATACTTTCATACTTGACAATGACTTGTCAGAATGCCTGTGATCAAGCGCAGATTCTGTGTAGTCACAGTCAAGTCACTGTTTGTTGTCAGGATAACTTAAAAGCTCCCTGGCAAGTCTGCAGCTTTTTGTTTCAACTCACCTTTCTATGAATTTCGCAAGGGAATGTTCTTTAATTAGCTTTGTCACTACCGATGTTGTCAGTCGAATAGAAATGCCAGGTCTCAAAAGTATTTAGTTGGCTGCCTTCTTGGTTAGTAAATTATTACTCGTAGATATGGTTAACTTTCGATGTGGTGTTGCATTTGATCCACTTTAAGTTTTCCATATTGTTAATGGATACTTCGGCCAAAGCTTCGTGACATTTCAGTACTAATTTTAGGTAAATTTGTGGCCTATCCAGGATGAGTAGTGCTCGTCTGTTATCTGTATAGGTGAGCATGTTTGTTCCAGTAATATTGAATGACTTCCATTGCTTTGGTTAATGTAGTTGTTATGGCTCCTTTATTATTGAGACATGCTGTTCTTTGAGTTTGTTATAGTTTCGGATCATTTTTGTCGTCTTTTTTTGTGTGTGTCATCGGCTTTAACTGCTAAGGTTATCTCGCCTCGTGTTCTGTGTAGGATTTGTTACTGTTTCCCAGTGCCACTTTAGGGACAGCACTGTTAATTAGAACCCAACAGTGAATGGTCGAGTGGGGAATCCTACCAAGGCATCAGAATTAATTTTAAATAATTAAATTAAATAAAAAAATCCCGGCCAACGGTAGGATTCGAACCTGGGACCCTTGGATCCACAGGCAGATACTTTACCACTGAGCCACCCACCCCCTTTTTGTCGTCTTGTTACTGTTCTATAATTTTGAGAGCTAATTGTATTATTTCGCATGTTCTCAACATTTACTCTTTGCAGAATGACCAACCAGGTCATCTGCATACGCTATTGTGTAGACTGCCATTTCTGAAATGTCTAATGACCATGTTTTAAAATATGTGAACAACCTCTCACAACCAAGCCTCTTATATTCACATCTTTTGCACTTATTTTTACTGCTCGCTTTCTAATTCGTAAAAACCCTGAAAAAACAAGAAGTGTATGGAAACTAAAAAGAACTGATATTGCAATAAGTGAAGGTCTAATAGAAGACAGAAAAATCCTAGTAAAAACTTTGAGACTGGCAAGAACTCACCAAAAAAGGCTGTAATCAAAGGAAACGGCATAATTATAGAAGGAGCGTATTATTCGACAAAGGACATATTGGATGAAAAACACTTTCAAAAATCTGATCAAGAATTCTCTCTATCACCAAAAATACCGCAAGTGATCCAGGTACACGCTCGTTAAGTGTTTTTGATAACGATAGTGACATTGATCTTAATGTACAACAACCTGAAATATTGGAATATCAAACCATAACTTCATACTTCATACTCTATCCCAACAGTAATATCCAGCCCAATAAAAATATCTACCGTAAAGAAACCCATCGTAAGAGCAGCAGCGGATAAAAGAAAGGATTTGACAAAGAAAAGTGAAAGAATCGCCTCAAAGTCTAACAGTAGTTCATAAAAGTGATTGTAAAATATTTGTATTGCCCTCGTATTTGCTTTTAATTCTTAATTATCTATTTAAGCTTTTTATACTTATTAAATGTTTTATACTTCCCATTTCCACTTTTTAACTGAATAATTATCTTTATTCATAATGCACGTAGGTAAAGTTTATTTGGTTATAAATTATTTTGTATTAAATGACATTTTGTGTCGGACATTTAAATGTTTGTTCCCTTGTACCAAAGTTAAATGAAATCAAAAACATTTTATATACTAAAAATTATGATATTTTCTGTGTTTCCGAGAAGTGGTTAACCCTTGTCATAGATTATAATGTATTAAAGATAAACACCTATTTATTTATTAGATCTGATAGAATAACTAAACGAGGGGTGGTGTAGGAATCTATATAAAGGATTATATAAAATATAATTTACATATATGTGATAACTTTAAATTTTTAAAGCACTTGTGGACAAAATTTAAGTTTGATGGAATAAAATATGCACTTTCTGTTGTATACAGACCACCAAAGTCAAATATACAACTGTTTACAAATATATTCGAAGATATTTTAATAGAATGGTGTTGATAGAATATTATAAATGAAAAATCCCAACAAGTACAGCACCTACTATCTCTAGTTGAACCATTTAAACTAAAACATATTTTTGATGTTACACATTTCATTAATAACAGTATGACATTAATAGATCATTTATGTGCGAATTTTAATCATATCAAGTGTGTGGTAATAGATAAATTATTTTAATAGAGATTTAGAAAGACATGATTGGGATCAAATTTATCACATTGAAAATATAGATGAGAAAATAGTATATCTTAATACTAATATAATAAACTTGGTAGACCAACATGCTCCTCTAAAAACTATACAATCAAAGGTAAAGTTCAAAAATCAATTCTGGATAACCGATAACATAAAGCTCATGCAAAAAATTAGAGACAATGCATTAAAGAAATTTAAAAAATTGAAATATCCAGCACATTGGGAGTACTATAAAGAATAAGGGAACTATGCTTCAGCTGCCACAAAATGAGAAAAGAAGACATACATGGAGTTTAAGCTTTCTAATTCCATTTATTGTTCCCTACTTAACAAATATTAATAACTGCATTGATAGTAATTTTTTTCCTACTGTATGGAAACATGCTTTTGTGATCCCTATTCCTAAAAATACGCGCCCTACTCAATATTCGAATTTAAAAAGCATTAGTATTGTTCCCACAATGTCTAAATTATTTGAAAAGGTTTTAGAAAAGCGCATTTCCTCTTATGTCAACAAATTTAATATCTTGCCTTAAACCAATCAGGGTTTAGAAGCGGATATAGTTG